GCTCGTCCCTCGAACAAAGAAGCAACCACCGTCGCGCGCATTAATTCTCGCTCAACGGAGAAGCTAAATAAAGCCGCAACGAAGCGGATAGCCTTCTATCGAGTCCCACCGGTGGTGTCAGGAGTCAGCCAGCGCTCGTAACGCTTTACCCCGGGGGTGGAGGATGGCAAACTCGTGTTTACATCGTGACTTTTATTAGAGAATCAGTGTCTCGGTGTTCGGTGCGGTACGACGCGCTTCACCTTCGAGGTGGAAGGAGCCCATTGTTCCACGGGCGTTCGGTCCTCTCGCCTGGGACCGGTGTTCCTAAATTATTGTTTCCCCTTCGAGCTTCCAGTCCGGACCAGCCACGTCTCCCTCTCCTCGCCCCTTACACCCGCTCGTTCACCATTCCGGCGTCTCTTCTCACCACCGACTTTTTTCACAGGGGCCCGTCCGCCTCGGAAGGAACGCCTGGGCCCCGATGGTTATTTCGCGCGTTTACGATACCCGGTCTTTATTCCGTCAGGATTCGGCCGAGGGGCCCAACAAGTGATCCACCGTTCGGCTCTGGCCAATGGGAAGAGAGAGAGAGAGAGAGAATGAGAGAGACGGAGGCACACCGCGGTGTGTATCGATGTTTACGAGGCGAAATAAACGGCGACGGCGGCGCCGTCGCTGGCCATCGGTGTGCGGTTATTTCGTATTACTTTGGCCCTTTAATGGCGTCTTAAAGTGCCGCATAAAAATCGACGCTGCCCTCCTAGAAGGTGGTCGTCGAGGACCCACGGCGAATGCACAACTCTTGCGCCCACAAAAGAAGTCTCGCCGCGGGATTTCGGTTTCGCGTCTGTCTCTTCGTCGCGTCTGTCTTCGATCCGCCTCGGGTTTACTCCTCGAGGTTTTTGTCGCAGGGTACCTCCACTCATTGGCGAGTCCACGTGGCGATGGCTTCTTCCAGGGCTCGCGGGTTGCCCGCTCCACGGTTTCCGTCCTGCGGGGATACATTATGCATGGCCGCGGCTCGTGTTTGCGTGATTTGTGCGTCGATGAGTCTTCTGGGGTAGGCTTCATGAAATACCCTAAACGTGGAATCGAATGAGGAGGTTTCGAAGAAAGTCGCAATTAGCGAGGATTTTAAAACTTTGATGCGTCTTGTTGTTGCGTGTCGATGGTGGATCGAAAATGTATTTGCTAGGTTCTCGAAATACCTTCATTTTTCAATTACTCGTCTTGTGGAGCGTTTTCCAAAGGGGGAAAATAATTAAAAATGTATCTGTATTGTTGTATCAAGGTTCCGGAGGAACAACACGTCGTACCCGTTATACCAATAATAGTTTATTAAATATATGTTGAACGACTTTATTATTCAAGTACAAATTTAATATAGATATTCTTGGATATATTTGAACTTAACCTTATAATATTATGTGTTGAACAATGTGTCAACGAAACACGACGACAAACCATCACAGACCATGCTGAACAACTTTCTCAAACGGAAGTGCTTGGAGCGTGCGCCTTGTAGCGCGGGAACTCCAAAATAGTTCGTACGTCTTAACAATATATAATATAAGAAACATTCTCTATCGCTCCTGCTCTCGGACAGAACAACCGAATTCGCAAGACTCTGACGATCGCGCTCTCGCACCGCATCGCCGCTAGATGGTCCGCCGATTCCTTCGAACGCGCATTCATAACATGTATATTTGGCCTCATTTCGAATGGTCCATCTGCACCTCTGCATCCTACGTCGCGCGAACGTCATTTACATGCAGCCAGCATCCCAAAAAACTTTCCTAGAACCCTCCAAGTAATTGGTGAACCGAATTCGCGCCGAAACCCCGTAATCGATATCGCCATTGTCTTTCGGAAACGTGGAGGGCTTCGTTTTAGGAGAATTTTAATCCCGACCGAAGGGATTCGCCCAGTAATTTTCGTAACCCCGTTGTCGACGATAATTGCCACGTTTCCACGGGCCCCTCCCCACACCCCCCAGCTAGGAAATAACCCGATGAATTTCGTAGCACGCACGGAGGATCGCGAACGATGGAGAACGTGTTGCCTCGCCGACCTCGACCGACACTTCTGGCCCCAACTACCACTTTTCTCCGCTGTCCGAACGCCCATTCGGTTATCAGGCGAATTCTCTTTCGTTTTATCGCGGGGCAGCCGTAACTCTTTCGACGCGTCACGATCCGACGCCATGACGCGGTTACTTCTCCTGTCTCGTAATTCAGTTACCCTTAAATGCCACGAATGCCCATCATCATCGTAAACCGTCGGAGATACCGACACTTCTGCCGTTCGGGGATTTTAAAGCTGTGTACCGTTTAAAAATTACGATTATCCGCGATTTTGTGAGGTTACTACGAGAATCTCTGGAATAGTTTAGCTGAAAATTAATGTTTGCATGGGGATGTTTGGTGATTGAATTTTCGAAATTAATACACACATGCTGTTGTGCAATAAATATACATATAAATAAATGTATATTACAATTCAAATGCGCCTTTGAAGTTTTCTCAAAAATTGGCACGAACTTTCTGGACAACTCAATACTTTCTAACCCATAGCTCTAAAAATATGAATTTATGGTGCTTATAAAAATGTTCAGATCTTCAAACTTGAACAAACCTGCAAACAAAATTGCAACTTGTACATTTTAGCTTCTTAATATGGGGATGGTGATTGTGGAAAGAACGGACGTAATAACAGTTTAAATAAATATATTTTGAAATACAAAGATGTTATATAGTAAAACTCTTGACAGCAGTTCTTTGCAATGACAGATTACAAAACAACCACTTGAAAACCTGTCGCACGATAATCGATAGCCGCACGAGTTCAGAGCCCAACTCAGAGCCCAACTCCTACAAAAATGTTAGAAAACGCAGTAAAGTCTCCGCGAGTCCCTTTTTTTCGTGTTCAGTTACCGATCACTCCTCTGAAAATCGTCAAACGAAGAGAAACTTTGATCGCCATTCGCACAAGTTTCGCAAAGCGCCAGTCGGCGGCGGAAAGTACTGAAGAAACGACGTAGAAGAAGAGGAACGGGATCGACACGTCCCCGGAGGGTTCGGAACGAGCGCTCCTTATATTCTCCCCTCCCGGTAGAATTTCCATCGTATCGCCGTTTTGCTCGTCACGGAGCAAAGTGGAACGAGGCGCGTACGTCCGAGGCAGAATATAAAAGGGAAGAGAACGGGTGGAGGTACGATTCTGTTGTAAAATAGCGAACAAACAGACGGACGGACGAGTACGAGAGATGTACGAGAGAGTTCAGATCGTGGCGTTGCCTGAAAAGGAAACCGACGGCGCCTCCAGTTAGCGGAAGTCGCCCTTCGACTAGTTTTACACGTAGCCGCGTCTCGGGGCAAACGTGAACAACGAGGATCGCGACGGGCAGTCGGGTAGTAAACGATATATGTATACGCGCAAACGTTGCTAATTAGTCCGTTGGTATGTGAACGCGTAGGAATTTTCGAAGAAACGCGCGGCTAATCGGCTCCGTGGTCTATCCCTCGTCGGCGCGCGGTGACTCGACGTGTTTGTAAATCGTTCTAAATGAAATTCCTGTGTTTGCCGAGGAAATGGGCCGCTTCGTGGCGGTTGAAACAGTGCCAGCGTTCTTCGTAGTTTTGCGCGTGTTGTCCACGAGGTACTCGAGGTCGAAAGCGACTTGAAAGGGCTGCTCACTCGATGCTATTAGGCAGGACTGAATTTTGCCAGCAGGATTGTTCAATGCCAATGTAAAAGTAAAAACTCTATAAAGAAAAAGTTCAGAAACACGCCGAAATAATGTACATTGCTTTTTAAAATTTCCATTTATAATATAAATTAAAATAAAGATTGTAGACTGCATAATCTAACGGTATATAAAATTAATAGTGAAGAATAGTGAAACAATAATTGTCGGTAATGTTACAATTTTTTTGTGACTGGTGGAATTAATCGCATCTCGTAGAAGCATACTATGTAACTACAAACTGAAGCTTTCTTGTATTTATCGATAGATTCAGAATTCCCTAAATGCGATGCATGAATGTCAACTCGTAGAAGTATACCATAATTACAAACAAGCTTTCTTGTATTTACCAAAGTCCTCTACCATCGAATATTCCAGCGTCTAACAGGCATGGACCACCAAAGCGTTTTCCGACGACTCTAAGACGAAATCTCCTTCTTCCTCTCCCTTCTCCATTCCCTCCCGTAGCGCAATCGACCGACGAAGTCTCCCAAGCTCCGAGAAACTTCCTAAACAAGCCACGAAACGGTTACCAAGTCGAATGCCGGGCAAATTTAATAACCCTAATGAACTTTTTTCCGCCAAACGGAACATGCCTCGCGACGTCGTGATCGGGAGCCGCGTTCCGTGCGCAAGAAGCGCAACCCTTTCTTATCTACCACGACGATTAGGACATTAATCTTCGGTCGGGAGCCGAACAGACAGAAAACGCGAAGAGGGACCCGCGGTGCTCGCCCGAGCAAAGGGGAATCCCGCAGCGATGCAGATCCACGATCGATCCGCATTCTCGAGGTCCGTGGCGACCGCGGCCGATGCGCGCGTTCTGCATTCGTCTTCTCCGAGGGGGTGCGTCCAGGATCCAGCATCTGGTCGGTAGGAATACCAGGGCCCGGTTTCTCGGTTCCCTAGCTTCTTTCACCGTGTCCCCCGATCCTCGTTCCGTCGTTCCTTGGACGCTGGGACCGACGACGCTCCCGCCTCGAGTCGTCTTCTTTGGCGCGGCGCGCCTCGATTCGCGCAAGAAGGATGTCGTTGCGCAATTATTTTCGCATGATTCCGATCGCCGGGCCAGATTAAGACCCCTGCGCCTTTCGGTCCGTTCTGCTGCCGATGGAACGCAAACGCCGCGTTTCGTTTGCGATCCGCGTTACCCAGCAAAACCGAATTCCGAGGGACAATGCGTACGTGCCAGTATGCGTCGCGACGCGGGCCACGGGACCGTTCCCTGGACCACGGGACACGGAGGAAGACGTAAGCCGATGAAGAAGTACGGAACATGGGGATGGGGGCAGGGTTTCGACGTCTGTCGATCATCGACGAGCGTTTTTGCGAAGGGCGTGAGCGATCGGGCCCTCGTCGATCGATGTTCCGGTTATTAGCCAACTTATGAATGATATTGCCGCGATACCGGCGGTTTAGTTGCCGGCGCGAATGGTAATTGATCCAATTACGTTTTTCGACGAGAATAGCCGATGGCTGGGCCGTTTTCTTCTTGGGTTGGCTTGGGAAGCGAGGAGTCGAGAATAGGATAAAGGCTGAGGAGAACGGTTCACTTCGAACCCATCATATTTATTTTTATATTAAATATAGTATTTATTTATTTTTTATTATTCATTTATATTATAGTCAGGGAGTTGGAGAATAGGACAAAGGCTGAGGGGAACGGTTCACTTTGAACCGATGCATTGATGCATTAAATATGTTTAATATTAAGTAAATTTATATATTGTATTAAATGTATTTTTATATTAGATGTCGATAAATCGTACTGCCGTTAATTCAGCGCATTGGATATTAACGATGCGATGTGTGCAAATAGGAACAGTATCATTGCGAAGTGGATGAGAGTCTGCGATCGCTTAGGGTTACTTTTACGCACTGTGTTAGCTTGCAAGAGTGTGTTGCGACACGTTGGGGATACGTGTGTGATTACACAACAAATCCAAGCGCGTACTCGTGTGTGCGGAAGTGGTTCGCCCACCCGCCACGGCACGCTTTCAAAGCTTAGAAAGCTATCTATAGATCGGGGAAGCGCTTTCAACGATGTGGGTGGCGACCTCAGCCCGTTCCACGGAGTGATTCTATGAACAGGGGGTCGTCGACGCACGGAAGTCGCGCGACGAGTGTTTATGCTCCGAACGTTTACGAAACGTCGCCGCGACTTGGTCGATAACAGTACTCTGCAATCAGAGATACTTGTTAACAAGGTGTGACTTTTGGAAATTTCAATTAGATCTACAACCAGCGAAAGCACTTATTGTTGATGGAATTTTTAACGAAAGCTTTCAAGTATATCAGATGTCTATGGATGTCCTCGATGTTTGGTTAAATTATGACGTAGAGAATAGAAATGGTAGTTCATTTAGTCTTTGTTATTTTCTAGCATTTCTAGCAATAGTATCAAGGCTTATCATTCGAATCGTGCCTCTTATAAATTTACTCAATGATATCTTTAAAAATAAAGAATGGAGGAGCAAATGATTTAATGTATCCTAGTCCTCTATTTCAATAATTCTCACCAAAAATTGTAGTAAAAGCGTTGTCAATAATTCAGTAATTTTAGAAAGAAGTATAAAGTACACGGTCTTGGTAGTTCTAGTATTAATTGTCTGCTCAAGGCTACTGCACCTCTTGCTTACTCGAGCAGACCTAACTAGCTAGCATAATGCAAGCAGAGAGTCGTTCTTGACACACTAGGGAAACCTGAGTTGATTTCAATCAACCTGTAACCAATTTCAAGTGATTAAAATATTAGTTAAAATATTAGACTTTGAAAAGGGGTATTATTTCTAAAATCGATGTCAAATTAATACTGTAAAAATGAATAGATCTTCTTGATTGACTTTACGTTAAACGTCTATATCCTTTTGTTTCAGTTTGCATCGGAACCAATGGCCGCCTCTCCGTTCCGTCCAACAAGCAGCATCACTACCGGAATCTTCGAGACCGGTACACCAACTGTACTTATGTCGACGGCAATCTGGAGATCACATGGCTCCAGAACGAGCCATTCGACCTCAGTTTCCTCCAGTATATACGAGAGGTCACCGGTTACGTCCTCATCAGCCACGTGGATGTCCGGAAGATCGTCCTGCCGCGGTTGCAGATCATACGCGGCAGAACGCTCTTCAAGCTTACCATACATGACACCGAGTTCGCCTTATTCGTCACGATGTGTCAAATGCAGAACTTGGAGATGCCGGCCCTCAGAGGTAAATGACAATTTTCTTTATTCCTGCATTTTCGGAATTATTTTACTCTAGACAATCCATCTTCTGACTTTTATGTTTTTTATATACTTTCATTAAAAATATACGTAAGAAAATAAGATATAGATGATAGTTTCCTTCGAATTATAAAGCAAATAAAAATATTGATGCTCACGGCACTGGTTACCTATCATCAATCCACAAAAGTTGAAACTCACGTCAATGAATATTGCCGAGTTGTTCCAGGCAAATTTACCCTACCTACGTCTGTTATTTCCACTATGAATTTTTCATTAACACGTTGGTCGCAACGTCGCCCAGAAATGGATGACAGGACTTTTCATTAAGGAACTAAAAAAGAAAATTTCAAAGGTGAGACGTTAATAAAAATAAATGTGGATAGGATTCGTGAGTGTGACGAGGTTAAGAAATTAAATGCTACGACAAATGTTACGTTATCTAATTTTCGATAGTCTCGAGACGAAATTTGAACTTGGTAGAAATTTTCACGAGTATCAGTCTGGCAACCAACGTGTTAAAAGAACATTGAGAACTCAAGATTCTATAAAATGCATCCTCCCAAATAGTAAATAATTCAAAGTAAACTCAAGCTGAATATCTTCCGCGTTTAATATTCCAACGTGAACCACGAACACTTCAACGACCCTAAGTCGCACGTGTCGTTTCCTAGATATCCTCAACGGGAGCGTGGGCATGTACAACAATTACAACCTTTGCCACATCCGTACGATCAACTGGGACGAAATAATCACCGGCCAGGGTGGAACGTACTCCTACGTATACAATTTCACGTCACCGGAGCGCGTATGTCCGTCGTGCGACAAGAGCTGCGAGCAGGGCTGCTGGGGCGAGGGTCCCGAGAATTGTCAGAGGTACTCGAAGACGAACTGTTCGCCCCAGTGCTGGCAGGGCAGGTGCTTCGGGCCCAATCCGCGAGAGTGTTGCCATCTTTTTTGCGCCGGTGGCTGCATGGGCCCCAAACAGAGCGACTGCCTCGCCTGCAAAAACTTCTTCGACGACGGTGTGTGCACGCAGGAATGCCCGCCCATGCAAAAGTAAGTAGACGACCCGCATCATTAAGGACCGGGTCGAATCTACCTTCACGGATGGACGTGGATTTCGGCCTCGAATTCATATACGACCCTTAATTAGAGAAAGATTAATTGCGTGTTAATTATGGGAATCTTGGAATACCCTTCGGGACTTTGGGAATACTATAGCTTCAGATTAAATGAGTTATTGCACTAGTACGTACATATGTATATTGATTTGTTTGGAAAGTATACGTCGATTTTTGGTAGGTGGGTACAGGTCTGAATATATTGGAACGGTTGACAACAAATAACTTGCGTACATCCCTTAAATGGTGGAAAGATTGTGGAATAAAATGGTGCTTATATAATTCAATAAATGTACATATATCGAAATTCAAATGTGTCTTTGAATATTTCTTAAAAATTGGTACGAACTATTAGAATGGCTATTGAATGAATCAAAGTCCAAAGTCTAAGAAATTCAAGAATTATTTCTCAAAGTTTAAATAAATAATTTCTTCCGAAACTCAGCGTAAATTTACAGTGCAATTATTGAACTCAATATACAAATTTGTACACTAATCTCCAAGAACGTTTTCTTTTTTTTTGCCTCATCTGAAACATACCAAGCAAACTATTTCATCAAGAAAAACGATAATTTTGAATGTTGAGAAATAAGATATTATAGTAAAACCATTTTGGTACACATTTCAATTGAAAAAAAATACTTGTATTTCCTCAATTATTCTCAACTCGAAATTAATCTGCAATTAATCTCCCAACATGACATTTTACAATCCCCCTCGATGAATACCATCTGCAAATAATACTTTAAATCGTCCCTCCGGCGTTATCACGTTTAAAAATACAATCTTGCTTCATGCTCGGATCAAAATACATCACGATACTTCACATTTCGCCTATTCGCGCATAAATTTGAACCATAACGCGAGAGTTCACGACACTAAACCTTCTCCTCCGAGCGTTTAGAAACCAAAAATCCCGAAGGTTCTATCAAACGACGTCGATATATACATATCTCTCAGGCTTAACGGGTGCGATACGAAACTAGTAAAACGTTTGACAATAGCAACCGCATCGTCGATAAATCCGTACTACGCCGATGTATCGATGTCTCGTCGCGGAGATACTCGTTGGAAGTTCGAGTCTCATTGTAAACTTTACGACCAGGTATTCAAACGACGACCGTTTCAGGTACAATCCTACGACGTACTCGTGGGAGGCTAATCCTGACGGGAAGTACGCGTATGGTGCAACCTGCGTGAGAAGGTGTCCGGAACACCTTCTGAAAGACAACGGGGCTTGCGTAAGGTCCTGTCCACAGAAGAAGAAAGCGTTGAACGGCGAATGCGTGCCTTGCGATGGCCCGTGCCCGAAAACCTGTAAAGGCGTGGAGAAAGTGCACTCTGGCAACATAGACGACTTCAAAGACTGCACGATCATCGAGGGATCGATCACCATACTGGACCAGAGCTTCCAAGGCTTCCAACACGTCTACTCCAACTTCAGTTTTGGCAAACGCTACGAGAACATGCATCCCGACAGGTTGGAGGTGTTCAGCACTCTAAAGGAGATCACCGGATTCCTGAACATCCAAGGGGATCACAAGGACTTCAAGAACCTCTCGTACTTCCGGAACCTCGAGTTCATAGGTGGAAGAACCCTGACGGAGTATTTCGCGTCTTTGTACATCGTGAAGACGTCGCTCGTGTCGTTCGGTCTCAGCTCCCTCAAGAAAATTTACTCCGGGTCCATCGCCATTTTGGAGAACAAGAATCTCTGTTACGCGCAAAGCATCAACTGGACTAGGATCAAGAAGTCGTCGGAGCACGAGTGTTTGTTGTCTAATAATAGGAACGAAAGCGAATGCAGTAAGTATTGTGGTGTATGATGTAATCATAGTATTAGTTATTATAATTATTTTATATTCTAGTATTTTTGCAGTTGTGGAACTTTGCTCTGACAGTTGCATAAAATTTGTTTTTATGTATTCAAGTAGAAATTATAAGTAAATATTAAGACTATCTACCTGGAGTCTATTTATAGAAATTTTAATTAGAATAACACCGGGAATTTTGAATTTTTGTTTTAATGTAATCTTTTATAAATATTTTAAAGACCTGAAGCAACAAGAATAGTTACAAATATCTCTATGTTTTAAGCCAGAATGAAGAATTCCCTTTAATGTCACTCACACTCTAAAAATATTGAATATCTTTTCCCAATTCCAGTAAGAGATGGATTGGTCTGCGACGAGCAGTGTTCCGAAGAGGGTTGTTGGGGTCACGGACCAGCGCAGTGTCTGTCCTGCAAGAACTTCATATTAGGGAACGATTGTCTCCAAGACTGCACCGCGCCAGGGTAAGAGCGAACTCTATATAACTACTTAACAAATTTTAATTACTTAACAAATATCTGCAAACCTGAAAATAACACATGTCACTTCTGTTGTGTTTAAATTTGCCCATCTCAGAGCGTGGATCAAAGGTAAACGGGGTTAGCCTGAGGTTATCTTTCTGTTTCATAAGCGTGTAGTCTCGCACTGATACCAAGCATCGCTTTCGCTATTAATTAATTGCCCAGTATGGTTAATTTGCGTATGAAATATTAGCTAACACCCTTTATTCCAAACTTATAGAATTTACCAGGCCGATGAAAAGACCTGCAAGTTGTGTCACGACGAGTGCGACGGTTCTTGCACCGGTCCAAACGCGGAGCACTGCACAAAATGCAAACACGCGCTAGACGGTCCGTTCTGCGTGCCCGAGTGTCCATCCTCCAAGTATAACGACAACGGCGTGTGCAAGGACTGCCACGGGAACTGCGTGGGTGGCTGCGAGGGACCCGAGAACAACATAGGCCCTAATGGATGTCACAGCTGCGATAAGGCGATCATGAACGGGAGCGTACCTGAAGGATGTTTGCAGAAAGGGGAACCCTGTCCAGATGGTGAGTGACTCGATCTATTCAGAAAGCTGAAAGTACATTATTGTCTATTAATATTTAATTGCAAACGAGTAAATCGATTTCACAAAGTAAATTTCTTTGTTGAACTCTCTGTCCTAAGAGATAGAATATTTACATGAAAATGAAGTAATTGTAAACAAGATAATTCCAGATATATACAAGAGATTCAAGAACGTCAAGAAAATTCACAGATTATAAAAAGTGCACGTACGAAGTGAACTATCTTTTAAAAGAAACGTCAAACAAGAGAAGTTTTCGAGCTCGAAAATTCCGATTTAAACACAAAAAACAATTTCTTCTTTTTATAATCTTTCTTGTATCCTTATAGTGTAACATTTATTCTTACCTCTAAAAATTTTTCGTAAAAATGAAGTCGAAATTCGTATATAAAGTCTAATTTGTAAACAGCCTAATTCCTCATACGTTCTTCCCAGTCAAAGGGTTGCAGCCTAGAAATAAATTAGCGTAAGCAAGAACGAACAAGCGAAATCTAAAGAAATTATGATTCCATGTTACAGGACATTACTACGAGTGGGTGAGTCCTCAAGAGCTAGGAGCCTTGAAGCCTCTGGCAGGAAAGGCAGTCTGTCGGAAGTGCCACCCTCGTTGCAAGAAGTGTACCGGATACGGTTTCCACGAGCACGTGTGCCAAGAGTGCACCAAATACAAGAGAGGCGAGCAGTGCGAAGACGAGTGTCCTGCTGATCATTTCGCGGACGCAGACACTCAGCTCTGCATTCCGTGCTTCAGCGAGTGTCGAGGATGCTTTGGACCGGGCCAGAATCAATGCTACAAGTGTCGAAACTACAAAATCAACGTGGTAAGTCGTATAATGAGTTCAGAAAATTTATTGACACGTTCGTCGTCTTCACTTCCAAGTGACTGCAAGGAAGTGTATACATGCAAATAAACATCTAGAATTCTTTCAAACATTTTGTTCGTACATGATTATACATTGTTTAGACACAGCAAAGCACAAAAGCTTGTTTTCCATCGTAAAATTTCTAATCATCCATGTTAATTTCTGATTACATACTTTCTATACCTCTCCTTGTTTTCTTCCAGGACGAAGATATAGATGGAAACGCTACATCCTTCAACTGCACGGAGATCTGTCCTCCCGAGTACCCCCACAAAATCTTCCCTCCGGACAGCGAGCCGTACTGCTCCCTGGAATCCGGCAGCGTTAGATTCTCAGGGGAGAACGAGCTGCAGCCAGCTATCCTAGCAGGTGTCGTGGTGTTCACTTTACTCTTCATCATGGTCGCGGCCGTAATCATGTACTTCTGGCGCATACGCGCGAAAGCAAAGGAAAACACCGTGAAGATGACGATGGCGTTGACTGGGTTAGACGACAACGAACCACTACGACCGACAGGCGTGAAGCCGAACCTGGCCAAGTTACGTATCATCAAAGAAGAAGAGATGAGGAAAGGTGGGATCCTGGGTTACGGAGCTTTCGGAAACGTCTACAAGGGCGTCTGGGTGCCCGAAGGTGAAAACGTCAAGATCCCGGTGGCCATAAAGGTCCTTCACGATGGCACAGGGGCGAACACATCGAAGGAGTTCCTCGACGAGGCGTACATCATGGCCAGCGTGGAACACCCTAACCTTCTTCAATTGTTAGCCGTTTGCATGACCTCGCAGATGATGCTCGTGACCCAGCTGATGCCTTTGGGTTGCCTGCTCGACTTCGTGCGCACGTTCAAGGACAAGATCGGCTCCAAAGCCCTCCTCAATTGGTGCACGCAGATCGCCAGAGGAATGGCCTACCTGGAGGAGAGGAGATTGGTCCACCGCGACCTGGCTGCGCGAAACGTTCTCGTGCAAACGCCTAATTGCGTCAAAATCACCGATTTCGGTTTAGCCAAGCTTTTGGACATCAACGAGGAACAGTACAAGGCTGCAGGTGGAAAAATGCCGATCAAGTGGCTGGCCCTCGAGTGCATTCAGCATCGAGTCTTCACGCACAAGTCGGACGTGTGGGCTTTTGGAGTGACCATCTGGGAGGTTCTCACCTATGGTGGCAGACCTTACGAGAACGTGCCAGCTAGGAACGTGCCAGAATTGTTGGAGAAGGGCGAGAGGTTACCCCAGCCAACGATCTGCACGATCGACGTTTACATGATCATGATCAAGTGCTGGATGCTGGACGCGGAGTCCAGGCCTAGCTTCAAGGAGCTGGCGGAGGACTTCGCGAAGATGTCCAGAGACCCTGGTCGATATCTTGCCATCAAGGGCGACAAATACATGAGATTACCTTCGTATACACTGCAGGTAGGCAATAAAGATTGAATTCTTTTATCATTCACGTGATTTATCGTTGTTGTCCAACATGCACAGATTATTTGTATCGGGTTGAGTATATTAGGTTGTCCCAAAAGTTTCTTTCGTAATTTGCACTCAATTATTTTGTGTGGCAGTGTTTATATAAATAGACAATCTAATTTCTTAGATATTGATGTTGTAACAGTAATGGAGCAAAATGAATCGTACACAATTCAATAATGTAACATTAGACATAAAATGTTGTGTATGTATTACTTATTAATAAAACGAAAGAAACTTTTGGGACAACCTAATATTATGGTTATGCATTTATAGCAAGTGGAAATATGGAAAACTGTGTGGGGATATGCACTAATGCTCTTCATGTTTCTTTTTCTTCTGGAATATAGTATCTTTCGTGATCTATATAAAATATTCTTCAGTGTCCCTATATGCAGTATTTCGAATAAAAATTTTCCATGTTCTCAGGACGAAAAGGAGATGATACGAAACCTTGCATCAGCCATGGACGGTCCCGAGGCGCTAGTGGACGCCGACGAGTACCTTCAGCCGAAATCCAGGGCTCCTATTCCACCTGGACTCTCAGCATCCAGTACTTCCGGTTCTCCACCGAACACCCCCGTGAAAACTTGCTGGCCCAATGGCAAACCCCTCGCTGCCGACTCTCCAACGCCTCAAAACCAACAGAACTGGGACAGAGAGTTGTTGAGGTACGGAGCGAATCACAGAAACGGAAACGCGTCACACGAGCCTGGAAATTCGGGTCAGCACCCGCATTTCGCGCCTCCCAACGGCCATTGTGGACATCCTGTTGGCTCCGACACATCCAGTTCGAGATACTGCTCGGATCCGCTGAAGATGATTGGCGTCAGAGGTGAGTTATCCTATTAGAGCAATAATTAGTATAATATATATATTCAATATCTATTGAAGAAATTTGCTTAAATTAAATTATAGGTTTAAAGTTTCCGAATAAATTTTTCCATAAAAGTATGTACATGTGTAAAGTTTATTCATACACATATTTATAATGAAACGTAATTAATACTTGTTTAGAAGACATATAATTGAAGTCATAGGGCATTGACGTCATACTAAAGTGCAAATAAATAAAGAAAAATTAAGTATCAAGAAATTTATCGCTTGATTGTTTAGATTGTGACGTGACGGACGATTGTTTCGAAGGTGAGGTGAACTCTGCACACCAGCAGGCTCAAGTAGGTAACCTGAAGTTAGACTTGCCATTAGACGAAGACGATTATTTGATGCCATCGCCGCAATTGCCGACGAACACGACGCAGTACATGGATCTCATAGGGGACTCGAAACCCACGGGTAAGCAACAAATTCGTTACAAATTACTGAAGACGTAACATAATTTCCTTGTATAATTTTCCTCCTTGTATAACTTTCATTCATAAAGTCTGCTAATTGAAGTAATTGTTGTCAACATAAATTTCTTAATCACGAGATTGGTAATATTTTTGTTCTCGACACAAGAATTCTTTCATTTATAAAGACTGCTATTTGAAGCAATTGCTGTTAACAGAAATTTTTTGAATCATGAGATTGGTGATATTTTTGTTCTTGACAATCTCGATGAATAAAAGTCCACCACAAGAATTCTTTCATTCATAAAGACTGCTGTTCGAAGCAGTTGCTTTTAACATAAATTTTTAATCAACGTTTCTGAATTGTTTCCAGAATTGGAGCCAAAGCGAGTCAACAACGGTTACAGGAAGTACCCAGAGTTCCTGACCATCCAAGGTAAAACTTCGCTGGACAACCCCGAGTACATAATGTCCCAGGACGAGGGACCATTGACCCCGCAGACTTTAGGTATTCCAACGCCCGACCTGGAGAAGGTCCTGACGAACGGAACCTTCGGGTCTCAGGTGAGACAAAGGAGTTCCGAGGAGGAATCTGACCACGAGTACTACAACGACTTCGATCGCCTGGAACGGGAGCTGCAGCCGCTGAAGCCTCTCAGAAAGAACGAGACCACCGTCTGAGCCCAAGGATATCCTACAGGATGCCAAACGAACTGTCATTCCAAAACTGGAACCAGAGAGTTGATGTCGTCCGTTCCGAGGATCGATTCGATCTCGAACTTGACGGACGAAGGGAAACTTCAGAGTACTTAGAGAGGACACTTCGCTCGAGTGCCGTGTTTGATTGTGATTAGACGTAAAACGCGAGAACTGTGCTAATTTCCCAACAAAATTTCGGGAAAGTATCTCACACAAGATAGACTGTTGCGCGTGCGTACGATGAACAAGTAGTGCAAAGATAATCTTAATGTGCCATTCGCCGTGGCTTGTAAATAACGTACTGTCTACCACTTCTGTAGGGCTAACGAGAGTATAAGGATCGACTTGCAGTAAATGGCATAGAAAATTCTCTCCCTTACCCTTCTGCCCTTATTTCGACGGTCCATGTTCGTTGTCTCACCCTTTTTTTCTATTGATGACCATAGACGTAACGATTTGTCGTACAATGACTTGTACGACTATCGTTGATGTAACTGTTTGGAGACTCTGTGGATGTCGTTGCGACTTATGCTATTAATTAAATGAAGGACAGTAAGACATAGACTATGAGGGCTCTAGCTCAGAAGCTTCAGCTTCTAAAGTCTTTAGAAATTAATTTGAAAATACATGTTGCACCGTTTAGAAGACAAAACATACTTCCATTTTAATCTCAACTCTTTATTCGAATCGATACAAATATGAATTTATATAAACATTCACAGTCTAGTAATGATATTTGGTTTAAATAAATCTGTAGACATTAAGGGACATATTTATGACAAGAAATTAAAATTTTATATCTTATTTTTTTCTACTCTATGTAAATTTGTAAAATAGTCATCTATGTGCATTGAAAGTCTATTTCTTTTACAGTCTAGAGTTCTAGAAATTATATAAATTTTAGTTGTTGTTACGGGATTCTAATTCAGTCGTAACGACTGTCTTACGATAAATCGTTGACGTTCATGGTCTCTAGTTTCTTCACAGAGAACGGACATTTCTCGTATTATCGTACAGTGTCGAACTGCGAACAAAACGAATTACTCCTGTTACGAATGTGGACCTCTCTCACTTTCGAAGAATCGAACTTATCTCTTCTGTTTCCTCTAAATTCATAATCGTCTCGTGTGCGACGTATCTGCGCGGTTCGCCGTTGACTGTGATAAAGAAACGTTCTACTGCTTCTCGAAAATATTTTAACCATCTCAACTGTTAATCCTTTCTTGCTTTCTCCCCCATGTGTCGCAATGAGCAACGACAGTACAACGCATTAGGCCATTTATTATGAAAATAAGAACATGAAATAAAATAGGAACATGATTGTATTTTGGTCGCTGTATAAGTAATTATGATTAATTATGTAGCTGATCGGTAGATAAATTGTATAAGTTTGTTTGACAATTAGAACAATTCTCTTGAATGTAGCTTTAGTATACAATTATTCGTTTATCTTTGTTTTGATCTATTCAATCTATTCTGTTCTATCTACTCAAATCGATGAGCATCGATAAGATCGTTACATGTTTTATTTATTTTGTGTTTCGACTGCTTTCATTTTTAAAGTATACAAATACTCCAAATGAATTCACCAAATTAATATATGAAATTTGTAATGTAAAGTGCTATGATTGAATACAGAGGAAGAAGTTTTAATACTTTATAGGTTTTGAAAATGTTTTTTTTAAATAAAGAATCAAGTATTTATGATTCTATTTCTCATTACCATCACTGCCATATAAATCAACATTTTTTAAACAATCATTGAATATTGGTAGTGTATACAACAATAATCCAACTACATCTTTATATGTTGTTAATGTTATGAGTTTAGGAAGATGAAATCAATAAATTGAATCAATGAAGATCGTTCATGTTCGTAGATTTACATCACAAAATGTTTCTCTCGTTTAATTCAACAATTGAACTTGAGTCGACGCGATCATAACGAAATATTATTCGACTTCCATCATTTTCATAACGAATGGCTCAATTGTCCTTTGAATTTACTACTCGAATGTAGAGAATTCTGGAGTCGGAACACGAAGGTCGGTCGAGACCTGAAAGAACCAAAGGTGGACAAAATTGTCTTTTAAATAAAAAGATGTCGAATAACGAATAATAATTGAACAACTTTCGATTCGTTATTTGTTCCATTAAAATTACAATTTAAATTACACAATCGAATTACGTTTGAATTATTGAACGAATAGAAACTTATATAAAAAGAAACGAACGATTTCTTCCAACGTCTCCCAACGTCGTCTTGCGACTCCATATAAAACCATTTCTTATGTTCATTTTTTATGCCATCGCCTTTGCAAAAGGACCAATGAATTTCGTCCTCGGCCCGTACCGCACGGAAACATCTCGACTTTTTATATAGATACGCGTTTTGTAAATAGATTAGCGGTTACCGCGTAAGATTTCTACGAACGTAGAGAACGGAAAATGTACTTGAATAAACTAAGCGACAAAAAAAAAATATAAATTGTAACGTTTTAAACGAGAAAAAGAAAGACGGACGAAAATGTAATAGGATTAGGACGTGCCATGTTGTGTATGTACAGGGAACGCGCGAAAACAGATTTCCCACGCGTTCACCGAAATCTCGACGGTGAAACGGCAGCGATGGGCAAAATTCTTAACTAAATAAAAATATCAAATAACGAATAAATGCTGAAACAACCGTTTATCGTTATTCGATGAATAAAAAGTTAGAATTTTATATGTAGAATGATAGATTTTACAATGAACGAATCAAAATTCAACTACTCTTGTAAACACCGCGAATGAATTAATGAATAAATGAAATGATTAATTCGAATGAAATTTTGCCCGTCTCTGAGTGAAACGGATCCTCCTCCAGACGTAGCGTTTCATTTGTAGGAGATGTGCACGAGCGTGTGCGAGATTGACGATCTCATTCGTGATGGTGAACCTTATTAGAGGAAACAGAATTCAACGTCGCGCGCTCTTCTGTGATAAAATGGGAACAAACATCAGAAAAAAATTGTTTTTGTTTTTATGTTAACGTGTTTCGTTTGTTTTTGTTCGTCGCGCAGAACAATTCGCACGGATTTCCAATCTCGTCACACGCGGGGTGCGGTGTCTTATTCTTAACGATTTAAGTAAATACGTATCGTGTACATTGCGTTAAGTGTTATTAATGGTTACGTTAGCGATTTCTCTCCTTGTAATATATCATTCATTGCGTCACCGTGCGGATCAGCGTTGTATCACAGGGAAGCGCGTGAATGACTAATCGGAGATGGGCAAAATTCTAATCTATTTAAACTATTTCAAAATAACGAATAAAAGATGACATTCGATCTGTTATTTGCTCGATGAAAATTATAGTACAATCTGAATTGTATAATTTTGTTATGGTGCATGTTGAATTAATAATAGTTTATTCGAATAAACGTTGTGAATAAATCGCGGCAGTTTATATTCGTCATCTATTATTCGGATAAAATTTTGCTCGTCTCTGCGCCTAATTCGATGTTTCCAATGAGAGAAAGGAGAGAAAAACAATGTAACGTTAAACGTGTCTTTCCTCCATTTTCCCCTCTGTCCCTTACTTATTCCCGTTTCTAATGATTTTTATTGTAAACCCGACGGAAACAGTGAGTGTGAATTTAGAAATTGTACAATACGTTTGATCGCCGGGGATAAATAGCTGCGAGGAATTGCATTTGCCATTCGGTTGTGGACATAGAACTTATAAAACTTTATAATATCATTACATTATCGTAAAGAAATTATTGTAATAAAGAACCAACAAGATTTTTACGAGGTTTATGACTTTACTTCCCTTTACTTCTTCTACGTTTCTACGTTTCGACTCGTATATTGTTTTTGCTTGATTTTTCTATTTTACGAAAGTGTTTCTTGATATAGGCAAGATACAAAATTAGAAATGTAAGAATAAGAGCGTAAAATATACAGTGAAGAAGATATAAATCGTATAAGTAACATGTAACGTGTAAAGAATAAAATAAAGTGCAGGACACGATTCAGACAGTTCCGAAAAACGATCGTGATTTTCTTGGTTATTTATTTCCAAAATTATAAAGATCATGTTTTTTTTTTGAGATTGGTCTTTCCTTTATTCATTTCATATTACAGCTATATAATCTATCATTTTTGAAATTTTGAAAAATCCTTTAAGGTAAGTATCACTAAGGACTGTTACTCCATTTAGTGATATATTTACAAAGAAGTCTTATAATGTTATAATGTAGTATTTATTCTTATACCTAAAGATTTTATTAAATATTTAATGTCAGTGTACAATTTATTTTATATTTAAATTGCAAAGAAGCTCAAAAAATTGATCTTTCTTTATTTCTATTCAAAAGTTCAAAACATTTAAAAATGTAGGTGGTGCTATAGTTATACTCAACAAGCTTCGTCATGGAGATATTGAGAGTTGTTAGTAAAACTTTATGAAGAAGAATACCATTCTTCTTACAGATGAATACCTAGTGCCAATACGAATCGAAAAGTTCTTTTCCATTTTTCGATCCGACGCTTCGTTACGGAGATTTCGTTCAATAAAGTTTCTGCTGTTTCTAAGCGCGCGAACGCATGGCCAGTGGCCACGTGGAGTGCGCGCGAGCGAACAACCGCGTGCTGCGAGCGCGCGAGCGCATAGTCACGTGCGGTGAGCGCGCGAGCGCATAGTCACGTGCGGTGGTCGCGCGCGCAACCGCGATGTAAACAAACCCGAGTACGGCGATGGGCCCACGACAAAAGTGAAATTCAATCGCTTCTATCTCTGTAACGAATGATCGTATCGAAAAACGGTAAAGGACTTTTTGATTCCTCATTCAACAAGCAATGTATCTAGATAGGTCTCACATTTTTGTTATTACTCTACGTAGTACAATTAAGGGAAAATTCAATATTTTGCTACGTTAAATTACCAAGCTTCGAATTCTTTAAGCTGATCTTTATTATAATGAATCTATATACATAAACTAAGTTTTAATGTGATCGTCATTAGAATTTAGTTATATAAAATTCAATAGCTAACAAATTTTGTCTATTGTTGGTCTTTGAACATATTACAAGTGTACAAACTTGACAATTATCAGGTGTAGAAATTAACTTTGTGTCTTTACAGATATCTATTTATAACTCTAGTTTAAATAGAAATATTCGCTGACCATTTCAGCACGTTAGAGTCACACCCTCATAGTAATGAAACGTTATAAAAGAATGTGGAGTTGTATGATTCTTCTTTATAAATAAATCGATTAGCTTGATCACAATACAATATTATTTAATACCTTTTTGGCCTAACAGTCACAAATTTCTCAAAACCTTTTCGTATCGATCGAATCGACAACGACTAGATCTTCCGAAGCTTCCGAATGTAATGATACGCATCTCCATTTCACCACATTTTTTCCCTTCCGAAAGTCGTGAAAAGTTTATCGTCTTCCAAAAGAGGTTGAGGGGTGCTTTCAGAATTCCTCGGGGACCCATTGCTCGTGTTTCCAACGACGGTAAAAAATTGCATATACCGTAGTCTGAAATATCACCGTAAAATTGATCGTGTCATAAATATTTATGGCCGCTGCAATGGAAAAGAATTATACTGTAATGGCCTGTTTATTGCTAAGTAAAACTGAATTATCGGTCTCAGCGTTCCAAATAGCTTTCACCTTTTTTTTAAAACTCTTTTAAATGTTACGACTCCTATTTATGGTATATATCGAATTTATGAATTTAAAGCCTTTTCCTTACATTTATAGGTACTCAACAAAAGCGAATAATAGAAATTTATTAAAAATTTACAGACTTCGCGGAGAGATGAAAATGGAGAGATGGAGAGATTGAAAATCAAGTGACAGGATATCTCATGACTAACTGAAAATTTCTATACGACAAATGCACAGAAACCACACCCAACACTTTACACTTTTTATATATAAAGATATTATTATCAGTTCGCAGCCATTAGCTCTCGATATTATTCGCGACGAAGGATTGTTCATCACGAATAATACCGATTACCAGGTCTCACCACGTGGAGGTTGCTGCGACTGGAGACCCGGAGATAGAAGGAATCAAACTTCCTTCGATCTCTCTCTATATAGAGTATACATACGTAGATGTATACTCTACATAGAGTCGACGAGCTTAATACTAAGTACGAAACGATGAAAATCAAAGGAAAACAAAG